GTGTAAATTTACGAACAGGCCACAAAGGAATATTCCCATCTATGTATGCAACAGATTTACAATTTTTAGAGGAAGAGGGTAAATATTTTTTCATACTTGTAGAGTGTGTGCATGTTTGCGTTTGTATGTGTTTGTACTCAGTTTCACATTTTAAATATTCAGAATAATTGTAAAAAGATTGATAAAATAATTAAGTATTCATGACACAACATTAACAAAAACATTGAATTGAAAAGATGAAATGTTATATTGTATACATTACTTTCAGTTGAACTGATATCCTCATCATTTTTGTTATCACAATGTTTCAGCTATTGTGTCTTGTCAATATGGTTAACTTTCAGGAAGTTTTTAACTGAACACTTTATTTTATCTGCAAGGGTAAACTGTTCATGTTCCACTGTCCATGTCTAGGAATATCTTGTTTCTTTTAGTACTGCTCAGTTATTGCTAGTACAGTTTCCACTGTTTGTGTCTGTACTACCAAAACTCAGGTTTGAACTTATATTTACAATACTATCAAATTCACAGATCAGCACTCTAAACCCATGGGACAATCCTGAAACTCAAATATGGAGCCTTAAACTTCATGTTCTTATTGCCCCCACTACTGAATCCTTGCTGTTAGGTTTAACTTCCTCCACAATCATTTCTGATTGCTGTTACCAAAGCCTTGGCTCTCTCTGCCATTGTTTCTTTTACTTTCTTTATTAATGATTCCTACATAGTATTTATATCTACGCAAGGCCTACAGAGGAGGTTATCATAGCCTGGTATATGCACTGATTCCTTCATACAAGATTCTTCAGTGTTCTTCTTTCTTTATTATTTTTATTTAATTCCTTCTATACATGATCAGCCATGCCAGATTTCATTGTCTCACAGCTGATCATTTATATAGGGAATAAAGGTGGTCACAAATCCCTGTGGAATGAAGCAAAAATATGAAACACTGAAGAAAACTTTAAAAAATCATGTGAAATTTTGCTACATGTTAGGAACTCAAAGTGGGAAAGCTTAAGATAAGCATTAGTGTCAACAGCAAAAGAAGTCATCCCAAGGAAAGAAAGACAAGAAAATAAAAGAAGTGGATGACAGGTGAAATTCTCAACTTAATGAAAGAGACAATAGATAATACAAAGAAATGATGCAAAATATATGAGGTTAAACAAAAACAACAGAAATAGGTGCAAACAAGCAAAATTGGAATAAGCAAAATATCAGAGGACCTCAGAACATCACTCTTCATTGTACAGTCAAAGAAGTCAATTGTGAATGAATGCAGACTTCATTGAACAATCAGTTTGATTAACCACATAACAGAACTAATAATTAGGATTCTAATTAAGAGTTCTTCTAGCAGAATTATACCAAAAATAGGGCAAGAACAATGTGGTTTTGTTCAAGATACAGAAACAATACTATTTTCATGATCAAAATGTTCTCAGCACAAACAATAGAAGTGTAGAAAGATCTATACCTATGTTTCATAGATTACAAAAAGTTATTCACAATATAACATAATAAATATACACAGAGAACTGTTAGGAAAGCTGTAAAAAAAGGCTGGAAAATATTAAAATGATCTGTAACTTATACTAGAAACAAACAGGTTGCATGGGAATAGAAAATAAGGTAAGTGGATAGACAAAAATAGAAATAGCAGTGCAATAAACATATGTTTTCTCACCAGAATTATTTAATCTGTATAATAAGAGGACTAGAAGAACTAATAGGATTTATTATTGCCATAATTATAACCGTAATGACATAATGCTGCATAGACAGTGCTATGATGATGACAGATTCAGAAAGAAAAAAATGAAAGAACTATTAGACAAGATAGTTAATGAAAGCCAGAAGAAAGGACTAACCATTAACTGTAAGAAAATGGAATACATGGTTGTCAGTAAAAGGGACAACCAAAGGTGTGAGTTATATATTAGGGATGTCAATATCAAACAAGTGAAGAAATGTAACAATCTAGATAATGTATGAACAGACAACAAAAAGTGTGACAGAAAACCCAAGGTGCATAAAGATAGCAAATGATATTTTCAGAAAATGATCAAGATATTCTTCTTCTATGTACCTTTTCACTTTGGGATGGCTTTCCACAATTTCCATAATGATCCTTTGTAGCTCTTAGTAAATTTTTCTATTTGCTGTTTCTCCTAATCCTTATTCTGCCAACAATTTAAACAAGTTCATTAGGTATCTTGATTGCTACTTTCCACCGTTTCTCTTGCCTTCAATATGTCTTGTCAGTGTCAAATTTTCCTCATTATGTACCCTAGAAATTTCAACTGTCTCTTTCTGATGTTAAGTATGTGTCCTTTTTGCTTCCCTTTTCTCTAAAACTTTGTCATTGCTCACATGGATCAAAAAACTATCCTTAGAAAAAAAGAAAAGAGTGCTGAGCTGCTATCTAATGTTTGATGCCCTACAGGTTCCTCAGAAATGAAGAAAAGACATGAAGTAACAGTGATATGCTTCTCCTGATTAATGTTGAAAATACTATCGACAGAATATATAAGAAATTTAGTTTTAAGGAAAATATAAACTACAAAAAGAGAACTGTTTTTAAAAATCAGAAAGAGACAGCTGAAATTTCTGGAACACATAATGAAAAGAGAAAGCTTGGAGAATTTAACACTCACAGTGGATATTGAAAGCAAACCAAGCAGAACAAAACAATAATCAACTTGACAAGTTTAAGTAAATGTATTGTAGAATAAATAATAAACAATATTTTTTTTACTTTGGCTTCCTTAATTCTATTCATTGAAAAATATTGCCTGGTATGTGCTTGTTGGTCAAAAGATTTTACTTTTATGATTATCATCCAATTTTTTTATGTAGGCCCTACCTTTTTGCAAAAGGGATTTTTGCTTGTTTGCATTTTCAAAGTAATAGCTTTTCACTTACACTATAAATATTTAATCAATTCATGTATAAACATATGATACAACCATGCTAAAGCTTTCCACCAACCAGCAAATGGCAGTTGTTCAGATGAGTTACATTCCTTTCACAGTTAGGACAGTGTACAGGATGAAAATCACTATAATATATATATATAATCCAGATTGTCCATCCTTGAAAGAGTTCTAAAGCACTTACACTGCAATCTTTATCTTTTAAAACTTTGCTAACCTCTCACTACACTATAAATAAATGTTATAGTGTAGTGAGAGGTTAGCAAAGTTTTGTCTGTGGGATAAGGATTGCAGTGTAAGTGCTTTTTGAACCTGTCATGGCTGGATAAACAGGATTGAGCAGCACCAGCCCATATATATATATATATATATATATATATATATATAATATTTATTTAAAAATATGATTCCATCGCTACATAAGAGTTCTCATGTTTCAAAACAAAGTTTAAAAATTTCAATAAAATTATTTGACTTAAATTAAATTCAAATAATTATATTGAAGTTTTCGCTCTTGTTTTGAAACATGAGAACTCTTATGTAGCAATGGAATCATATTTTTAAATAAATAACTATATTTATGCTCTACTTTTTGTATTGAGTAATATTTTTTAAAATAATAACAAAATTACTAAAGAACTTTGGATTATTTACCTAACAAGTTCTTTTCCTATTTTCTATATATTTTACACACACACACACACACACACATATATATATATATATATATATATATATATATATATATATATATATATATATTATAGTGATTTTCATCCTGTACAAGGCCAAGAGTCACATGAGGTAGATTGTTACAGAGTAAGAGGCACAGTTTATGTGGGAAGATAATGACGGCTAACCCTAGATTTAAACAGGTTAAGATTGTAGTGATCGGAGAAATATCCTATTGAGAGTCAGTTTCACAAAGCAGTGTTTCACAGGAAGAAGCTGCTTGAATGGAACTTACTTCTCACTAATGGAATACAGTGAGAATGAAGGTGGTTTGCTACAATGTGAGTTCATGGCAGGTCCTAGCCACATAAGTTAAAACTGGCGGAACCAAGGAATGTAATTTGTCCAAGAACTTTCCATGGAAGTAGCAATAGCATAAAGAGAGGATTGCCATATCCTGTTTGTGTGAGAGGGGTTGCAGGATGGAGAATGATTTGTTACCCACAAGGATGTGGAGGCACTTTTGGACTCTATCAAAACTGGAAAGTAAGGACTGTACAGCTCCTGCCCAAATATGACAGCAGTAATCTATTTTAGGCCTGATCAAGCTCTTTCAAATGCAGAGGATAGCATGAAGAGTCAGTTATTTATTGGAGTAGTACAGGGAACCAACCATTTTTCCTGCATTTTTAACAATGGATCATATATATAAGTCCCACTTGAGGTCTGAGGTTAGTTTAAGGCCCAATAGTCTCCCAAGACACAGAGACTCTCTCACTAAGAGAATGGACTGGTTGTAATTTGTAGTCGAATCAGCAATGATGGAATGTAACTAGTTTAGTTTTCAAGGCTTTGAATGCAACCTGCCAATTTACCCCCACTGAAATGTTAGAGATAGATTGGATTAGAGATCAGCTACTGATTTTTGGTTATCATGAGGTGCACTTATATATCGTATCATCAGCATAGATATTCACAAATGATCTGAGTACACTCAGGCAAATCATTTATGTAAAGTAAAAAGAGGGTTGGTCCAAGAGGTGACTGCATTGATTGCTTGGGCTCTGGAAGACTAGCCATTAACAATTACCTTCAGGGACCTACCTATTAGGAAGGACTTTATTATTGAGCAATACTCCATTCTTGGTATAATCTGATTCTTGTATAAATAGAATCAGTGGGGGTTGGGTATTTTCTGGAGGGATACAAGGAATCCATCATTCTTTCAGCATCTTTTTTGATAAGTCAGATATATGCATTCTATTTCAAATCTGTAGCAAGTTTTAACCCCATGCAGGGAGCCCCTTTGGGGGTATGACCATTCATCAGGATTGGTGCATACTTATTGTTTGCTCGGTGGTGTTGAAAAGTTATTTAAACTTATTATTTATAAAGTAAAAAAAGCTAATGATATGCCACTATATAAATATTATATTTATTTATAGCAGTTATGTTTTAGTGAAAAACAAATCTAATCCCTTTATTTTAAACAAATATATAAAGAGTAAATGTTTATTAATATTGTGCTTATTTTCAAATTTCCAGATGATGATAATGTCAAGAAATTTCAAGTAAAGTTTCTTGGCTCATTAGAAGTTAATTGCCACAAAGGAACAGAAGTAATATGTCAGGCTATTAATAAGGTAAGATTGTTAAACTGTTTCCATTTTATGTGTGTGTTTTATACATATTTATTTATTTTAATCATTTCACCCCAAGCAATGTGATAATGCCACTAAGATGCAAGGAGTTACTGAGAATGACAGAAAGGAGAAAGGACAATAAAAGAGCAGGTTTCAGAAAGACAGAAGATGGTAATTGATGTTGTATTTAAGTTTTTGAAGATTCTAGCTGACAGGAAACCAAGAATCCAGAAGAGAGTTCTATAGGCAACAAGTGCAAGAGAAGAAACTATAGAATTTACAGTAACATCTAGCAATTTCAGCAGTAAAATGATGATGACTTAAGGCAAGAAAACAGCCAGTTACCATGCAGTGTTGATATCTATGTTTGCACTATTATATATATATATATATATATATATATATATATATATATATATATATATATATACAGAGGATGGACAAAATAATTGAAACTGGTGCAAATTCCACTCCTATATTTCAAAGACATTAAGAACTTTAACTAAAACTTCGTAATTGCAGGTTATATCTATTGTAAAAACGTTTATTTATCTAACTTACTGTCTTTGTCTTATTTATTTTTAGAATTTAGTAAAATTTAAGCTAAATGTGTAACCTCTCCAAGTTCGAAAAAGGGCAAATTGTTGGAGCTCGCATGGCAGGAGCCTCAATCACTAAGGTTGCTGAAATGATTGGTTTTTTAAGAGCTATCATATCAAGAACTATGATGCAACTTGAGAAACAGGACAAAACCTCTGGCAACCGCAGCAATTTGGGCCGGACTTGCAAACTTACTGACAAGAACCAATGTGCATTGAAATGCAATGTGACAAAAAATCATCAGACAAATGCAGCCAAAGTAACTGCTGAGTTGAATAATCATCTGAATAGTCAAGTTTCTACTAAAACTGTGCGACATGACCTCCATAAGGCTGGATATTATGGAAGAGCCACCATAAGGAAACCTCTTCTCTCCACTCGCAACATTCAGAAGAGGTTGAAGTGGTGCAGAGATCACAATGCCTGGTCTGCAGACCAATGGAAGCATGTCATCGAGTCCAGTTTTTCTCTTTTCCCAACTTCAGGGCGAGTTTATATGTGGAGGCAGCCCAAAGAAGCTTACAACCCTGACTGCCTTCTTCCAACAGTGAAGCATGGAGGGTGATCAGTGATAGTTTGGGCCGCCATATCATGGAGATGTCTCGGTCCAATAGTTGCCCTGCATGGTAGAATCAACAGCAAAGATTACCTGAACATTTTGGGAGATCATGTTCATCCAATGGCCCAGACTTTATTCCCTGATGGTGACTGCATCTTCCAAGATGATAATGCTCCAATACATACCGCTCGAGTGGTTAAGAATTGGTATGAAGAGTATGTAAGTGAGCTAGAACACATGAACACAATCTCCAGATATCAATATTATTGAACATTTGTGGTGCATTTTGGAGCAACAAGTTAGGAGCCACTATCCTCCACTATCGTGTCTTAAAGAGCTGGAGCAGGTGTTAATGGAAGTGATATAATGGAATATGCGTACACCTGTGTTCCCCCTCACTGGAATATGTTGGCTGATGTCCATCATAAATACTGACGGACATGTAGGAAAGTCAAGGCTACGTCAGAGTCTAAGTCTATAACAATGTCTATTGGACTACACCATTGATCTACACTTCTTACCTGCAACTACGATGCGTACCAGTTGATTACTGCTACCATATTCTACTTGGTTATAGTAGGCAAAACCACTTAGCTACTTCGTTCAAATATATCCTTTTCCGGGACATATCAGGAAGAATGGCTGAAAATTCCTCTCGATGAAGTCAGGGAGCTGTATGATTCCAACTCCATATGAAATAAATTTTCTTTGAATTTAAGAAGTGTTTCAATTATTTTGTCCAACCCCTGTATATATATATATATATATATATATATACATAATCTAAACAAGTTTTATTAAAAAGAACCAACAAGGTCTGTCTGTTTATTTTTTTATTATATTTTTCTAATTTTCAAATAAAGGTGTTGTGTTTTCAAATCAGAATTGTGAATAAACTGTCTGAATTTCATGTGTGTTTTGTTTGTTAATTTACATTAAACTGTCTCAATCATTATCAAGAATCAATATAGTATCTGTGTGTTAGGCAGAACTTTCTTTGTCTACACCCTGATATTCATTGGAAAGTTGAAAGTTTTAAATAGTCTATGGTAACATCATGCATGTGTAACTTATTGGAAGTAAGGTCATGCCAAAAAGGATGCACTTTTTAAAATATATATATATATATATATATATATATATATATATATATATATATATATATATAATGTGTGTGTATATATATATATATATATATATATATATATATATATATATATATATATATATATATGTGTGTGTGTGAGTATATTGAATATATCATATACACTTCAAGATACTGTCTCTTGTGGTGAATGATATTTAATGTGAGCTGTTTATTTTGTATAATAATAAATTTTACGGTTTTGTGTCTTTCCTTGTATTAGGTTCTGTAGAATATTTTCCTATTATCCACAAATATTTGTTTTATACTGATAGATGTATTTTGGTTGACAAGTGCATGATTTACTCTGAGTTGTGACAGGTTAACCTGTGAGAGAGTGTTGTGCATGTGTGCCTGATGTAAGAATTTTATTCTTTTTTTTTTAATTATTAATATTGGAGATGGAATCTCTCAGAGAGCATGAGAATTCATAAACAACATTATTTTTACATAGGGGGAATTTTTGAGATCCTATGTTGCTGGAAATGTTTAGATTAGATGTTTTAAACTTTTTATAGTAGATGATTAATCTAAGGTATGTTTCTAGGATCATTGAGTGATATATATCAGTAAATTATATTTTCAATTGCTTTTTCATCCTGTTTAAAATTAGGGTGCATCTGCTTACAATAGAATAAGTTAATTCTGTATTTGTTTTTATTTGCATCTTGTATTAATTTTTTCTAAATTTTGTCTAGGCTAATTTTATTTGTTCATCAATGATGTGGTTAGGGAAGTTATTGTTGTTTAGTTTGTTTAATATTGCTTAGTTCCTTATCAAATGTGTCTGAAGAAGAGATTATTTTTTACCTTTAAATCATGTTTTATATATGTATGTATATATATATATATATATATATATATATATATATATATATGTGTGTGTGTGTGTGTGTGTTAGGAAAATTAATGACAAAGGGGAAAAACTTTTTGTGTGATGTGTTTTGTCCTTTAGGACTACATCAGGCTAAAGTTATATTTATGTTAACGTAACTGCTATCACAATGTGGGATACTTAATAACAAAAGTGATAAAAACATAAACAAAAAGAAACAAAATAAAACTTGGTAAACTATATACCTAAGCACATATTAAAAAAAATTTATTTAAAATTTCCTATCTCCTTCTCCTTCACATGCATGTGTAGTCACATCAGTGTAAACATCACTTTAGTTCAATGAAATCTTAAAGGATAAAATGCATCATATGAAAAAATTTTCCACTTTGTCATTAATTTTCATAACATTCTTCTGGTATATAGAAATTTATATATCATTTATATATATAAGTTGTAATGGTTAAATTTTTTCCATTTTATATATTTTTTAATTTTACACATACACATTGTTTGTTTTTGATTTTGTTGACTATACAGTATACTAGGGTCAGTTGAGCATCGTTTGTGAGGAAAAGAGAACCATGGTGCAATTCACTCAGCCAGAAATTTGGAAACAGCATTCTGTACTGCTTGGCATTCACACCAGTACCAATACAAACATTTCAGAGTGTTTGGGTGTCAAATCTAGGACAGTGCAGAGGATTCGGAAACAGTTGGATAAGTTTAATGGTGATTATGAAAGTACGGCAGCTCAGAAAACTCACTGTGATCATTCTGATAAGAAAAGAACTCCTGAGTTTATTGATGAGGGCCTCAGACTCAACATGGTGGCCTACATCAAGTACCTTGAGAAGGTAGATCTGCTCTGGGTCAAGAGGGTGGCTACTGGAAAACCTTATGTCTGGTAACAGGACTCTCCACCATGCCACACAAGCAGGAAAACCCATTCATGGCTGTCAGACAATTTGTGTGACCATATCACTCCTTATATCTGGCCACATAACTCCTCAGACTGCATTCCTCTTGATTATTATGTGTTGGCCACAGTTGAGCAAGAGACCATCAAAACTCCTTATAACACCAAAGATAAACTGAAGACAATTATTATGGCAGCATTCACCAACTTAACTGTCCAGAAGAGTTAGGGGAGATTCTGAAGTCATCTTGAGGCCCTGGTTGAAGCCAATGGTGATTTTATTGAATAAAGTTACTCTTTAGTATGTCACGATATTTTTGTGTAATTTTGGTAATTATATCTATTTAACCATCACACCTGTATATATATATATATATATATATATATATATATATATATATATAGAGATGTTTTAGTTAATATCCTAACATGTACACTGTTTCAATGTTTTTTTAGGAACAACTTATCTAAATCATTACAGATTCAGAATTATTTTGATATCTGTACCATTCATTTCTCCATGATATTGTAATATATTGAATTATATTGAATAGTATAATTTAATGAATCTACTTTACACAATGTCAATATTACATGTATTATAAAACTAAGTTTTTATTTACATTTTCAGATTGCATTGACTAGGAGATCAACCCTTTCATCCACACCTCCTCCATCATGTTGTTTGGAAGTCAGTGACTATGGAATTAGAATGATTGATAAGAGTAAAACTGTGGTAAGTAGTCTGACAGAAGGTGATAATTATGAGGCATTCAGCAAGAAGCAAACTTACATAACATTATTAGCAATAGTAAATGATTAAAATTACTAGCAATAATATATGATTAACTTTCTGACTATCATGTTATAGCAGATATAAAACTAGATCAAGTACAACCAATTCATTTAATATTTATATAAAAATAAAAACTTTTAAATTTTAAACATATTTATACTAAAATGCTATTAAATTAAATTGATCATTTATTTTTGTTGATACCCAGTTTTATGCTTGTAAATATATTGCATGAAGAAAATCATAAAAAAACTCTATTGTGAACAAGATTACACTATCTTTTGTGCAGGAGTTCAGCTTACAATGTATTCAGTCATATTTTTAACCAATCAGAATTAGAAAACATCCATCCAATCTAAAGTTAATTATCTGAACTCCTAATCTAATCAGGAAATATAAATAATCAATATTCAGATTCTTATTCTAGTAGACATCAACATCATTATCATCATATTCCCATGACTGGGTGTGATTGTAGGGTAACTGCATAGATAAGCATTTGACTAGTTACATTTCAAACTAGTCACAACACATTACATTGCTTCTAAACATATGGTTCTATTTTAATATTTTGTTTACTCATGTAGTACGATTTCATAGAACTGCATCATGAATTTATGACCTGTATCTGCTATTCTGTGATTGTTAATATCGCATAGCAATCTTCTGTCAACATAACAGAATATCATCTTTGATGGTGAATATCTTTGTTTACCAGTTCATATAACCACTCTGAAGATGTCTTATGTGAGCTGAAAGCTTAGATCAAGGAACAACATAATAAAAAAATATCCAAATGTTGGACAATTTTTGTCTTTATTTTCACCCGAAATTAAAGCAAACATACAAACTTTAGAACAGCTCATGATCAGACATTATAGATATTCATTGCCTGTTATATTTAATAATATATGTTTGAATAATGATCTGATGTCCCAATTCTCTGTATTCGGCCCTTCAAAAATTGTGGTTGGTTCTGCACAAAGCCTTCACCTCTATAATCAAATCATATGTGCTGGTATCTGGGCTGCCAGTTCCTAGGAACTGAGCTGCTTGACCCTCATACATTAAATATAACAGGGGAGTTCACCATATACATGTATGTATGTGTGTATATATATATATATATATATATATATATATAATACTTTCTGGTTTCTGGTCATCAGATCTGATAAAGTAATTTAATTTATTGTTCCTATTATTCTCAAAAATTCCAATGCATTTCTTTACACATAGTTTTGTCTTTCATTCTGACCTGAAGAAGCTGAAGCCAACAGACATTTGGCAAATGTCCCAATTCTCTGTATTCAGCCCTTCAAAAATTGTGGTTGGTTCTGCACAAAGCCTTCACCTCTATAATCAAATCATATGTGCTGGTATCTGGGCTGTCAGTTCCTAGGAACTGAGCTGCTTGACCCTCATACATCAAATATAACAGGAGAGTCCACCATATACATGTATGTATGTGTATATTATATATATATATATATATATATATATATATATATATATATATATATATAACTAATACTTTCTGGTTTCTGGTCATCAGATCTGATAAAGTAATTTAATTTATTGTTCCTATTATTCTCAAAAATCCCAATGCATTTCTTTACACATAGTTTTGTCTTTCATTCTGACCTGAAGAAGCTGAAGCCAACAGACATTTGGCAAAACATGTTGTTTATAAGCTTTTCCACTTTGTCTCATCATCTTCACTTTTGTTTTGGATACTATATGGGCATAGTACCATAGAAATTAATCTTGTGTGCAAGACTCATTTTTCATTTGTAACTATATTAAGATTATTTCTTGATTTTTCAGCATGAAAGTGATGCCCATTTTTCAAACTTTTTTGCTCTAAAAAATATCTCATATTGTGGCTATCATCCAAGAAATGAAAGGTGAGTAAAAACTGCAGATGAAAACATACTCACATTTAACATTCTTATATATTAATACCATTTTAATGTAATGTCTAAATATATATTGTATTTGATATCATATAATAGCAATTTCATTTACATTTAATATTATAGTACTATTGATTTAGGTACAAATACTGATAGTCTGTGGTATCTTGGTAAAAATTAGCCAAGTGAATTTGAAGTAGGTACCTTCACAAAAAATGCAATAACTAAGGTTTAAAATGAACCTTTTATTTTAGTTTTAATTTCAAGCTAATAGATTTTCCAATAAGCAAAATACTTTGCTGCATTTCAAAACTAATTTAAATTGATTGGAAGTAATTTTTTTTTTTTGCTAAAATAGCTGATTAGTGATGTTTTGAGCTCTTTCATTTCTATGTAATTCTACTTATTAAAAAAATCTTCAAAAAATAAAATATACTTTTCTGAAACTTTGTTTCAGGAATAAAAGCTGATTTAAAGTATAATTAATCTGATTTGAAACAAATATTATTTACTTTAAGCTTAAAATATTGACTTTAAATTTACTATAGTTAATGCTCTTATTTTCTGATAATGTTGTGTATGATCAACCATATCTATAAAAAATTGTCACATTTATACACATAAAAAACAATTCAAATTTCTTTTTAAAATAATGAGTGACCTCAGATTGTAATAAGCTTTTTCAATTTATGATTAGTAAATATAGTTTTACTTAATAACAATATTCCCTAACCTTTACACCATTGAAACTGAATTTTAAAAAATTTAAAAACTTTATAAATTATTCTAATCAAAATTGTAAAAAAATGAAAACAAATCTAGTAAAAATTCATTATTCATCGAAATTTTTTTCTTCAGATAAGTGTATCCTTAATAGATCTTATTTGTTAAATCAATGAAAAGCTTTTCTAAATAAATAATGTCATAGTTTTATTACATTTTTTATTTTACAATTCAGAGCAGCTTTTTGGTTAAACAGGGGCCGATTTTACAAAAAAAAATTGATTTAAATTCTCCAAAGAGTTCTGCTTCTAACTAATCAGTCACTAAAAATTATTATGTTGAATTTCTTGAGGTTTCACAAAATTAAATGGGGTGTGACACATATAAAAAAATATTTTTACCAAGATTTTCTTAAAAAGCATTTCTAAAATAATTTCAATCTTTTGTGAATAAGTTCTGAAAGTTTCACTAGAATCCAACAATTATTTCATTTTTGCAAGAATTTCCAAATCAATGTGTCTTTCACTGCAAAAAAACCCCCAAAAAACACTAAAATTTGCTATGCTAATTTATAGACCATCCACTGATGCTAGAAAAACAAGATTTTTAACCAAAATTTTGAATGTTTTAAAAAGGATTAAAAATATTTACATGCAGACTATTGTCTACATCTTTGTTTTTGTTCTCACAACATTTTCACTGTTGTGCCTTCCAGGCTTCTTCAGGTGTATGTTGATCCAGGTAACCTACAGGGAATTTCTAACTGATCCTTTATTTAATCCACAAGGGTAGATTGTTCTTGTTCCACTGCCTCTGTCAAGGGATATCTTGCCTAGTTCTTATTTAGTCCTGTTCAGTTATTGCTTGACCTGTTTCCACTGAGTCCAAGTACACATTACCTGGCCCAAGGATTGAACTTACAATTACAATGTTACCAAATTCACTTTAATCCACTAGCAATAATCTACATGTAAATAATGTGAATAATATGTTGATGTGATGTTATTCAAATATATCTTGGATTTATGTATGTATTTCAAATGGAATATTATTATGATATATAATGTAATGAATATCATTATTACAATATTTTATACATTTTTCTTTCAGCTATTTTGCCTTCATTACAAAGCATCCCAGAGAATACAGATTTGCTTGCCATGTATTTCTTGGTGACCATTCTACTCGTAGCATTTCAGAAGCTTTGGGGTAAGTTTATTTGTTAATTTGTTTTACTTTTTGTTGATTGGTTACTTTTTGTTGATTTGTTACTTGTTACTTTTTTAAGTAAAAATGTCACAAACTTTTCCATTAAAAATTGCATTTAAAATATAGTCTAATTTATTGTTTTTATTTTTTAGATGAATCCTTTAAATTATAGAAAAATTTTAATTGTTATATATTGCTTATGGTTGCAAGAGTAACAAACAAAAAAAACACAGTATCGTTGGTGAGTTGGAAAGAAAAAGAGACACGATATGTTAAAATAAAATTATCTGTATTGTCAGTATATTGGATCAAAGTGGAATGTCTCTTTTGTGGGTGATGAAAGTTGGTTGTGTATGGGCCTGGTGTTTAAATATTGAGTCATGTCAGATGGCCAGGATGCCACTGGTGAACTTTGTAACTGCCTGTATGTCCCCAAGCAGGTCCTTTTAAGCAGTCAGGGTGAATACATGACTCTACATTTTTTGTCATGCTTTTACTTTCATAGCAACATTTATGATTGGCTCTGATGCTTAGATTTTATTTTATATTTTGGGAGGATTTGTTTTGTGAGCCAGATATAATGCTCGGAGCCCCTGCACAGAAAGTCTATTTTTTATTTTTAATTTTGCCTTCATAATATTCATATCTGGCTAACAGGTTTTGATGTGGAATGAACCAGAAAGAAATTTTATTTGAAGCAAAGTATAGCAAAATGAAAGATTAATTCATTTTATTCATAACTAAATCATAACCTATTTATAGAAATAAATAAAGTATGTAAATTTCAATGATTAAATCACTTCTGAATAGCATATAAATATAAATCATTTCTCTATATCATTTGATGAATTCTCATCTATCATACTGATATATTATACTATGTGCTATTTTGGACTTGTATATTCAGATAAGACAAAAGCCATAGGCAATAAATTACTCTATCTGCATATATATAAATCAGTCCTAAAATTTATAAGATTTTAAATCAAGTTTTGGAAAATATTCAGCATATAATTTGCACCACCCCACACCAAAACAAAGTAGAAACAATTCCATCAGACAGTCTCATTGACGGATGTATAAGAGAATAACCCTTAGTGCCAGTATTTTCATTAACAATGGTAATATTGGCTGTTTCTTTATAAGGAAACATTTAGCATTCATGGACCAAGCAGCCAGTTGAAATTTATTAAATTTTAAAACAATTTTTCATGAAAATAGTTTTCTCTATTGATTGGTGTCTCCTTAACATTTTATTTGAAGTAGTGAGGAATGTCAACATAGTACAGATATAAAATTATCAGGTTAATTTTTGCTACTAAACTGTAGACAAAATGTATTTTAAATGGACTAATTCATTAAGAGAATAACTATTTATATGACTGGTTTCTTTGGCAAAAATCCAATGTTAAAATCATACGATTAATTTTTTACTTATACTTGACATACTAAAGAAAAGAAACTGTATTCTAAATAGACTGATAGACTGTTATATTTCATGAAGAAAATAACCCATCATAACTTTACCATCATGACATATATCATAATATATGACATTCAGAGATATTATATTTTTTAATTTGTCTACTTGATAAACTCAAGAAAAGAAACTGTATTCTAAATTGACTGATAGACTTATATTTCATGAAGAGAATAACACATGATAACATTATTGTCATAACATTATATCTCTGGACTATTGCTAATGAAATTAGTAATAGTCTAGAGATATATTTTTGATTTGTCTACTTTTGTCTACTTATGAAGAAAATGACCTATCATACCACTGGTTTCATTTGCAACAGTACAGGTATATCATCATAGGTATATCTATATTTAATTTACTCAGTAAAAGAAACTGTGTTTTAAATAGAATGATAAAATTCATGAAGAGAATACTGCATCATACCATTGGTTTCTTTACTAGTCCAGATTTAATCATATACATTTATCTACTTATAGTTGATACACTGACAAAAAGAAACTGTATTTTAAATAGACTTATATAATCTATGAAGAGAAGAATGCATCATATCATGGGTTTCATTAATAACAGTCCATTTTGACTATCTATATTTGTAACAGTCCAGTTTGACTATCTATACTTGAGTTACTTGAGAAAAGAAAATGTATTCATAATAGATTTAATTCATGAAAAAATAATACATAATACTATGGGTTTCATTAGCAATAGTCCAGATATAGCATCATCTGTTTAATGTATCTACTTATAGTTGATATACCTGAGAAAAGAAGCTGTAAAATTCTTGAAGAGAATAATACAAGTCAATCTTATCATTGGCAGTAGTCCAAATATAACATCACAAAGAGCAGAAAGCATATTCTAATTTTGTTGCTATAAATCATGAGAGAGTCTTACATCATGCCAACATTGTCAACATTCCAAATATAGCATCATAAATTTAATTTGTCTGCTAATATTTGATTTCCTGGGAGGCTGAAGCTACATTTTGTTGAAGTGCCTTTTCAACTCATCATTTTTGACTCTAGTAAATTCAAATTTTAAAATATAATTTCTATAAACAAATCTTTCTTTATTTAAAAAAAAAACCATGACTCTATTTTGGTGGTTTTGTGAATTAGATATCAAAAGCTTTATTTTATCTTAATTTATATATAACTTACTCTGTTGTATATAACTTCAGGGTATATTTTTCAGTATATTGAATGTAATATATTTAATTTGGCAAGTCAAACTTAAAGTGTTACATATGAAACTGAAGTTTCAATAAATTAGAAGTAACAATGCACTTACTCTCTTATAGACATGGATTCAACCAAATGAACTGTGTGTGATGTAATAAGTAAAGAGGTAGTGTGGCTGTGGTAGCCATAGAACATAGACAACATTAACACCATTTGCCCATGATTTTGAATGGTGGTAGCTACTTTAGCTTTTACTCAGGCAACACTACCAAAAATATGTGTATTCTAGACAGGTATTTGTAGCACATAAAAATTGTTGGCAGCCATAGCTGATTCAAGAATGGGACAACTGGTAATAATGGTAACTACCCAATGACAAAGAATATTGCATCAAATCACCTCTCAGTTCAATGCTGGTGCTGCACACTCATACATCAGTCAATACACTGTATAGTGTACACTGCATTCTTATTCTTATTAACATCAGTTAATGTATATCTCCTGGGCCAGGGAACATCACCATTGAACCATGGAAAACTGGCTTCATGTCAGCTGATCAGACAAGTCATGCTTCCAGCTCTTTTAAGCAAATATTCATGCCTATGATTAAAAGAAACTACATGAGGCCATAAATTCAGTCTGTCAACAGCATATTGTTGAATTTGGTGGTGATTCTATTAAGTGAAACCAGTCTTATCTTGACAGCTGTGACATATACAGATCTTGTTTTAGACCATTTGGATCTCTTCAGGCTCATCATGTTTCTTGGTGATGATGGTTTGTTCCAACAAAATAATGTAACCTCTTATTGTGTGTAGCTGGCAGGAAACTGATTTCAGAAACACTTGGCTGACCTCCATTGGTCTCTTGGCTTACCAGATTTAAACTCCATTGAGAATATATGGAACATGTTGCAAACATCACCAAATTCCATGTAGAGATATCCACAAAAACACAACTCACTTATGGTTAGCATTGGAATGTACCTGGATAGAGATACCTATATAGTACCTTTTAGACTACATGCTACATTATGTAGCCACTATTTTATTCAGGTGAAGGAAGGAGCTATACACTATTAGAGAGATGTCTACTTTTACACACTTGTTGCAGGAATGGAAAGTATTATTATTTTATACCTCCTGGTACATTTGCAAATAATATTTGGTGGACTCATGTTAGTCCGGGTAAAAGAAAAAGACACAAAACATGGAATTCAAACAAACAAAAATTAATAAATATATTAACAAGACATGTTACAGAAGTATAAAGGAAAAATGAAATTGAAGTTATGAACAATTTAATACAATCTTCAGAAGTGTCTCAGAACTACTTATGTGCCTTGTGTCTATTGGAGTGAAAGTCTTGCTGCTCCAAAAGTCAAAGGGAAAAGAGGAAGAGCCTTTCAGATATCACATCACCTGTGATTATCACTAGAGGGCAGTAATCCAACACATTTCTGTTTATATAAAATTGTGTTTAGGAGAAAATGAGTTTTGACTTTCATGAAATTCTTAAATAAATATTTTTTTTTATGTGTAGTAGCCAGATTAGTCTTTGAAGAGTCTTTAATTTTTTTCTTTTTCAGACATGCTTTTAAGAGGTTCTACAGAGAATATATGGCATTTACCCATCCCACTGAAGATATCTATCTTGAATGACTAGCCTTGGCAATTGAAACCAATTACCAGCCAGAGGAGATTACATACAGCCTTTTAAGTCCAATAGTTACTGACTCCAATGATGACATCAATATCTGGATGCAACTCTTCATTCTACTTCAATTCTCTCTCTTTCTTTCTCTTAGGATGAAACTACAACTACTCTATCTTCTGGCTTCTCCAATACAATCAGTTCAAATGTAGGGTGCCAGTCATTTTTTTTATTTCTTTGTTATTTTCCTCTTCTAGTAATTGGTTTTTGAAAAATTACTCCTCTTCAGTCAACATTTCTCCTTGTTTGCACCAAATTTCAAAGACAATCCAAATCTAAAAACCTTTCAGTTTTCTTGTAAATTTATTTTTTTGTTGTTATTTAGAATATTTATTGGAAAAATCAGAACTGAAAGGATTAATAAACAATGTTTATATGTAATCTTTTTTGTTATTTTTCCTCAAACAATTTAGGCTAAGAAATAAAAAAAAATCTATAACTTTTACTCTTCATATATAATTTACTAGTTTACACTCACAGTCAGTGGCGGACTGGCCCACCAAGATACTGTGAAATTTGCTGGTGGTCCCCAAAAGTGATGATCCATCACTTTAGAAATAACTGAAAAAATTAAAAACTAAACATAAAGAAAAATATTGCTTAGATGTTGGGAAGATTTAAATAAGGCTTCTTTGATGCTATAATTTCTTTAGTAGTAGATAATAAGATATCTTTAGTTCCTTGTTTAATGAAGCATTTTTTTCATTTTTAAGGATATTTTTTAATTTTGTTTTGGTTAACATATAAAATAGATTTGTTTAACAAAAATAAATAAAACAATATTGAATAGATGTAACATTTTATTTGCTTAAAACCTTTACTTTTATTTGATTCCTTTGACTACATTTTGGGATTAAGTGGGTTCTTTTGACTGGGCCTTTTTACAAGTTTTCCCCATAAAAATTTTTGATCCAGTCTGCCACTGTACACAGTTAAATATTTCATTCTAAGTATACATTTTATTTGAATATTAATACAAGTTTGAAATCAAAAATTAATTTTAATTCACTTAACATACTGTTGGAATTATCTTTGCTATTTATAAATAGAAAGGTAATGTCATTTTTTTTATCATCAGTCTCTTGTTCAAGTTATCTTATAATAGATTTAAAAAGAATTTTGTATCTTATTAATCATGTTAAATAATTAATACATGTTCAAATTATAGTTTGAATTACTTAAGATTCTAGTCATAAAAATATGTTTATCTAACCATTCAGAATATTCAGATTAAAAAAATCAACTTTCCAGATATCTTATGCAAATATATAGATATTTTTAATTTGATATTTTTTACCACCTTGAACCTTTAGTCTAAGATTGAAAATGTATAACTTCAAGGTTTTGAAGAAAAAGAATTGGGTTTATTAAGTTTTTTTTATTCTTTTTCTCATTATCAAGATGAAATGTTACCCAAAGTGTTCATTTTGTTATATTTTTATGGCTTTTTTTTTAATTTTACATGATGTCAAATATTCAAACTCCAGACAGTAACACACATAAGCTTTAATAAACCATAAAAATGATTTAAAGAGAACTATATATGTATGTAATTACAATTTAAAATTTTCTATTTAACATAATATTCTCATTAATTATCCTACTAACTAGATTCATTATTCTCCATAAGACTGTTGTAATTGATCAGAAAAATACAAATATTCTGTTAGTTCAACCAAGGCTATCAATTCATACCAGCTACCTTTGGGATTACATTTTGACAACTTTAAGAAAAAAAGAAACCTTACAGTATTCTGAATAATATGAACCATTTATATTTAAAAAGGAACTCCCAGACATTTTCATTAAGAAGAAAACAATGCACTCTCAAAATTTTAAGAATGCACTTTACACCATTCCTAACTTCTCTTTCAAAATTATTTCATTACGATAAGTTCTTGAACTAGACATGATATTGTCTGGAATTTAACATATATAAAGATGAGTAAAAACAAACAAAGAACAAAAAACAAAATGGTTTAGTATGAACAGAATTGTTTCATTAGAATATTTTTTTCTTTGGTTGTATCTTTCTTTTGTAAAATATTCAGAATCAGTGTAGTTACTGTAAATTACAGATCTACATATATCTAATATATTTAATAGATAGTTTGGGATTGTTCTGCATTAGTAGCACCAGTGAAGCATTATTTACCTGACCTATCCCCTAAGGCAGGATGTGACACAAGATCATTATTTTTTTTTTATGTGGGGAACCCCAGGGAAGCAGATAAAAGATTGTTTATCATTCCTATTATTTTGGTTGAGAGTTTGTTTATTTACATTACTTCTGTGACCACTTACCTATGCACTTAGGTAATCTTCTATAATTTCTCTTCCCATTGAATCTACCTGCCAATTGCTTATCAGCTAAATATATAGACAAGTTCTCCATCAATGAACAACCATGGCATAGTACCTTCTGAAATATACAGAACAATTGGCTTGATTGATAAGAGAAGGCCTCAAATTGTATTACTGAGTTGCACATAGCCCTCCTTACCAGACAAGGAGTTAATCCCAATAAACTTAACCCCTTCATGCCATTTGAGGCAACAGAAATGTAATTCTACAGAAGGATACTGGGAATACCGTGAACTGAGCATGTGAGCAATGTTATAGTTTTAGAGAAAATGCAAACAAAAAGGACACATACTTTAACATCTGAAAGAGAGAGTTGAAATTTCTCAGGTGCATAAAGAGGAAAGAGGGCTTGGAGAATTTGACACATACAGGACATACTGAAAGCAAGAGTGGCAAAGAAAAGCAGTAAATTACCTACTTATTGGGCTTGTTTAAATGGTTGGCAGAACAGGAATTAGGAGAGATCATATAAAACTTACTAAGAGCTAAAAAGAACTGAAACTTATGAAGAAACATGCTTGCTCATGTCCTGAAAGGACAAGGCACATAGAAAAAGATCACTGGGTTTCTGTTAAAGTGCTTTTAAGTAAAAAATGGTATATGAATTTCGTGCTGAATTTTTTTCTATGCAAGCAGGTAGATCAAGTAGGAAGGGCAATGAAATAAAAGTTGAATATAAATTTCAATGCCTACTTTCTCATCCTCTCTTCACATTTCTTTTTCGTAACATAAGCATCTTTATTTGAGGATGGTGTCACAGCACTTACGGTAAAGACACTGGTTCCATATCCAACTTAATTGGTGTTATGACTGGTTTAGATCCAAAATTATAAACATTTGTTTAATCTTTGGACATTTTTTTTTTTATACCCTTTGCCCACTGCACATTTGTGTACTTGTAAAATCTGTGATACCCAAGTAGTATAAATATCTAGAAACAAATGCAAAAAAAAAGGCTCTATAAACTAACTCATTGTTGCTCCTGCTCTTGACAATTCACTTCTTTGAAGACATTTGACATTTTAAGTTACCTGAAAAATTAAAAATGCCCATTACAAACTCTAGCCAAAAGTGCCATCTGAACAAAGAGGTCCTCAGTTTTTTTTTAAAGGTAATTGCCGATGATAAATAATAGTTATTTGTAATAAATTGATTTTTACAATGTATATCCTTTCATTAAATATATTAAAAATTACCAAAGTAATTGTCATCATCGGAAAATGACTGACATCCTTACCAGATTTGAAGTGCTTATGTATAATAGGTAGTTTAGGTTTCTCTCTCTCCCTTCCATCCCCTCTCTCTCTCAAATTAATTTCAAGTACAACTTTAATCTCAAGAATGCTATACTTATTAAAAGAGAAAATAACTTTTTTAGATGAAGAGTGCAATTATCAATTCTTGCCAAAATGTTAACTTACACACTGGATTTTTTCAAATATCTCCTTTCTTAAAGGAAATACTCTTTTCCCAAGCCAACATACATGACCATACAAAATTTTTTAAAAATTGAAAGAAAACAGTTAACTCAAGACCTTTAAATATTTAAAATAAATGAATTAATATATAAATAATTCATTAAAGTGAAATAATAACATTAAAATATATAATAAAACTTCAATAACAAAATGTATTTACTTTCACTTATTAGGCAATAAATTACATCACTTAGCTTCAAGAATATTTTAGAGTGTTCTTAAATTTAAAATTTTAAAACTTAACAATATTTTTACCCACTTCATACAGTTACAAGTTACAAAATAAAATCTTCACATTTATCTTAAAGTCCCTCAGGGGATGAAATGCATTGGCAAAGAAAAGTTTTTCTTTTGGCTTTTATATATATATATATATATATATATATATAATGGAAGTTGCAGTAAAATAATATTACCATATATATTTATGTTATATAGCAAAAAATAAGGAAGAAAATGTTACTATAATGTTAGTAACGTCTGATAAGAATACAAGGCTAAATATTCTATATATACAAAAATTGTTTATTCACTTCTGGACTTTTCAAATTAACATTGGCCAAATTGAGGGTATGTGGTTTCAGGTCTTTCTTCAAATGTTCCATCTTGTTACAAAGGTGTGAGGGAGTTTCCTTCTTTCCTTGTACATTGTGTATTTAAAATACTTCTTTTTATCTGGTTGTTTTGGATGTGCATATTCTAAATTCAGCTAGATTCACTTCCTTCTTTATGTTGGCATACACACCAACATTCTTCAAAGCCAGATTCTGCATTTGGTGGCTTTGTGGTCACCCTTTATGTTAACCCTCAGGGCTACTAGGTCTTTGATTTTCTGAAGTGACATTGAGTACAAAACTTATAGTGAACCCATTACATATTGGGGTCACAATAGATCAACTCTTCTTAGATCAAATGTTCCTGATGGACATTAAATTTGATTCAGATCTCTGGTATTTCCTGGCATGAATCACATACTACACTACAATATTGCAGAATTTAAAAGATAATTCTGAAAAATCACTTAATTTTTTTTATATCATTGGAACAATCACTTTCATTCATTTTTTTTTTGCTAATATCTATAAACTTAAACAAGATATGTGTTT